TCTTGGGGCTGCTACCGACCTGGGACTGACCCAGAGCGGGTCTGTCTCAGGCCGGCCTGCCGTGTGTGAAAGGACGTTTAGTACAGCTGGGGACAGTGAGACCAAGAAGGGCCTGGGATGGAAGAAGCAACAGCAGAGAGCCAGGCAGGCGGCTCTGACCCCGCAGAAACAGTATAGGAGAGAAGTGAGCCAAGGTGGGGCTGCTGTCAGCTCCCTGGAGAGGCCGAGGAAAGGGGGCCTTGGGGACAGGCCGCCTGCTGTTCCCCTGGGTGCAAGTCCCATGGAGCTCCTGTGTTTTGAGGGTTGTATGTCTTCTGCAGGAGGGAATCCTAGGGGAGGTCTCTGGGGAGGGTCTCAGCAGCTTTCCAGGTGAGTTTTTTTTTAATATGTTGATGCACCAAAATGATCCATAGAGGAACTGGGGTCATTTTCTGGTCAGTTTCACCTTCAAAGAATATCACTAAAGAGGGACCTGGACCAGGCCAGGCGGGTCTGCCCCAACACAGACTGGAATGTGTACACTGTTTGTTCCTAAGTATCCTTGTTTAGGGAAAATAAAACCTTGGGTTTATCATCTGGCTGTAAATTGCTGGAGCAGTTTGCTCAGCTATCTGTCTCAGTCGCCCCATTCTACTTGCCAAGGAATGTTCCTAGTTTCTTACTAACCTGCCTCAAAGTGAGCCCTAATCCAACACGACTGGTGTCCGTATGAGAAGAAGTGATTAGGAGAGAGGGGGGAGGGAGGGAAAAGAGACATGGTGATGCACAGAGAATCCATCGTGTAAAGACATAGGAAGAAGATGACCATCTATAAGCCCAGAACAGAGGCCTCAGAATGAAACCAACCCTGCTGACACCCTGATCTTGGCCTTCCAGCCTGCAGAACTGTGAAGAAATCAGTTCCCGCGGTGGAAGGCACCCAGTATGCAGCATTTGTTTTGACAGCCCCAGCAAACGAATACACCAGGGTAGCAGCCTTCACAACCCTGTCGCACACACAGGCGGGTACAAAAGGAAGGTGTGCTGCTCTACTTCTCAGAGGGGAAACAGAGCAGTCTTGACAAATGCAGCTTTCCAGAGTACAGGAAACAAGTTATCTAAATTGAGAAATACGCGCCATGGTTTTCTTCGACCTGCAAGAAGGTAAATATAAGATTCAGAGCGCCCCACACCCATGTGAGCTGAGCCCTGCGGCACTACGACCCAGGCTTCAGAGCCTGGGCCTTGAGAAGCCGTCTAGCTTCTGCTTTTGCACTCTTGTCATGTGAGGAAGCCCAGTCCAATCTCTTGGAGCATGAGAAGGCATATAGAGCAAAAACGAGCCATCACGTGGGCCAACGAGGGTGCTGACAGTCAGCTCCCAACACCAGACATGTGAGGTCATTTTAGACCCTCCAACCCCAGTCAGGATGCCAGATGATTGCAACCCCATTTGTGATCCCAGGTGAGACCAGCAGAACTGCTCAGCTGAGTCCAGCCCAAAGTGCTGACCTACAGAATCAAGAGTAAATTAAACGGGTGTTGTTTTAAACTATTAAGTTTTAGGGTGATTTGTTATATAGCAATAGATAAACGGAACATTAAGCTAAAATCATATCTGCTCTTGAGACCATATTTGAGGACAGTTTGGGGACTCCCATAGCCACCTGCAAACCCCTCCTTGCTGAGCCAGACAAAGTTAGAAAATGAAGAGTGGTGTGTGCATCGGTTATTTGTGCATCTGTTTTCCCCGGGGGCCAGGTGAGCTCAGGACCATTACTGGGTCTCCTGCGTTTGTTCATCTGTGCGTTATGCTGAGCCAGGGTCTGACACTCAGCAGGTGCTCCACAGACATTTACTCAATTAGTGAAATGTTATGGGAATTGTTTAGGTCACCAACATCTCCTGCTCCCCTAGCTGGTCTCTCTGCACCTAGACTTGCTCCCTCAAATCCATCTTCCATCCGAGGAAGAACATTTTCTAAAATACAGGTATGTCCTGATTTAATTCCTGATCAAATTCTTTCACTGGTTCCCATTGCCCTCACAGTTACGTCCTCTCTCTTTGGAATGAGTTATGGAATCTGGCCAACCTCCACCCCTGTCTAATCCTCAAGTCCCACTTTGCACCACCCTCTTCCTTGCTATCTGGGCCCAGGCACATGGATTTCTTTCTGTTCCTTTCATGTACCACACTCTCTGGTGCCTCTGGACCTTTAAACATGCTACATGGAACATTCACCACCACCCAATTTCCACTCATGGCTAAATCCTACTCACACGTCAGTCCATTTGGTTGTCCGTTTTGCCTGGATTGAGCAATGACAAGAAGTAGGGATCAACAGTGGCTTCTGGGCAGTGGTTAATGGTTTGGCTGAATGTTCAAGGACTCAGAAAGCACAGAATGGAGGATTTGTGACCGGGAAGACTTAGGAAAGAGCTATTTAGATGGACTTTCAGAAACGGACACAGAATGTGAAGGTATTTCTGACCCCAGTGAAATCTTACTGAAGGGCACCCACGGCAGAGGCGGCTCTGGATGAGGAGAGAGCCAGACGGCACGTCCCGTGGATGTGGGTCAGCCTCTCTCTGTAGCCCTTCCAGTGCTCACTTGACACATTCTTGAGCAACGGGATGATGGTGACAAGAATAGGCACTACTTATAGGTTCAACAATATGGACTTACCTCACCAAGGCTGATCTGGCTAATGCCACTACTGTATGTCCAACCTACCAGCAGAGACAATGGTGAATACACAATGTATCACCATTCAGGAGGGTCCACCCAGCCACCTGCGCCGGGTTGATTCCACTGGATCCTTTCCAGCATGAAGAGAGCAGAGATTTCTCCTCATTAAAAGCCCGAATATAAATTTCTGGGCATCAGTGGGAGGTAGTGAGAGTGGCTTTCTCACTATTACACCAAAAACCCCACAGTATTAGTTTTCTGTAAGTGCCGTAACAAATTACTATAAACTTGGTGACTTAAAGCAACAGAATGTATTCTCTCTCAGTTCCAGAGGCTGGAACTTCATCAGTTTCACTGGACCTAAATCAAGGTGTCAGTCGGGGTGCCCTCCCTCCAGAGCTCTCGGGGAGACTCTGTACCCTGACTCCCCCAGCTGCTGGTGGCTGCTGGCATTCCCTCGCTGTGGCCACATGACTCCTGTCTCTGTGTCTGCCTTCATTGCCTGCTCCTCTTCTGTGTGTACAAACTCCCCCTCTGTCTCTCTCTTAAAAGGACACTTGCAATTGCATTTAGGGTTTATCGGTTAATCCAGGATAATCCCCTCATGTCAAGATCATTAACTTAATCACATTTGCAAAGATCTTTTTCCTTATAAGGTAACATTTTACAAATTCCAGAGATTAGGACCTGATATCTTTGGGTGGCTATTATTCAAGCTACTACACCCACTCACAAAATGTTTGCTTCTTGTCCCCACAGTGTTGGGCTCTGCTAGTCTGGAGGTCTCAGTTCTCAAGGGAAGGGAAGCAGCACAGTTTTTGTTGAATTGGAAATTGAAACTTCTAACTGGCCATTTGGGGCTCTTCATGCCACTAAACCAACAGGTAAAGAAAGAGTTAATGTACTGGCTGCCTTACTGGTTTTCATTACCAAAGGGAAACAGGGGTTCTGCTACACAGTAAGGGTGAGGAGGACTATGTTCACAACCCAGGGGATTCCCTAGGGTCCCTCAGTACGTCTGTGTACAGTACTAAGTTAACAAAAAGCTATGGCATCCAAAACCATGCAAGACCATTGAAAATTCAGACCCTTCAGAAATGACTACCTGAGTCACTCTACCACATAAAGAACACTACCAGGCTGAGGGAAAAGGAACATAGAAGGACAGTAGAAGAAAAAAAGATACGTATGATCAACAGATATATAGTATAGATCAACTATGACACTGTGATGAGTTACCAGAAGGTCTATTGCAGCTATGCATATTTTCTTCCTTGCTGTGTGTGTGTGTGTGGGTATGTGTGCACATTATATACAGCATTAAGTAATTTATTTTTTCCTCCCTCTTTCTTTTCCTCTATTATTTTATATAGGTGTGTTGGCTACCTTAACAGCTTATTGTTTAGTTGCAGGTGGGGAATAACATTATCCAAATGTGGATTCAACAACTAACTTCTAGAGATGGATACATCTGTTGGATGGTGGAACTCTGTTTTTCCCATTGGGGGAGGGGGGTGATTTGTATGAAGCTACTGTTGCTGTATGCAGGTTCAAATATGTGTGGATTGATGTGTTTGGACACTGAGTGTCCAAAGGGGTGAACTGCAGCAGTTGCTGAGTTACTATCTCTTAGTTCCAAATGCAGCCTTCTGTACTCTGCTCTGTGACACTGGGGCTGGGACTCTTCAAACCACATTACTCCTTTGTTAGCTGCCTTTGACAATAAGGGGCACTAGGGAAAGACTGAAAAGCAGGAGTAGAAACCTTCTTCCTTTGCTTACTGACCTTAGCAGCAGCAGCCTGGTAGCAACAGTTGATTGCAGCCTTCAGCATTTTTCTGCATTCCCAAACTTCACTGTATCTGTAAGAGGTACTCTCACCAACCAGACAGCAACCCTTCTTCAGACCTCTGAGCCCAGCTCTAGAGGGCCCCCCCCAGTCAAGCTTGTGGGTTCTGCTAACCCTAACCTCTTCCCTTATTCCTGCTTGAGGAGCAGTAGCTGCTTACTGCAGTGATTCTTCTCCAGGTTGTCCCGGTGTTCGCTTGTTCTCTCAGCCCACCTGCATCAGTGTAACCCATTCCCTATAGTAAATTCTCTGTGTTGAAAAAACTCGAATACAGTTTCTGTTTTCCTGACGGATGCAAACGCTGAGGAAAATGGCACCACTTTTCACTGGGTCACTGAGTCAAAAGAAAGTAAATTTGGAAGTGCAGGGGAGTCATGAGAGGTCAGCTTGCCTGAGAGGAAGGCTGAGACAGAAGACAGATTGCTGACACGTTTTATTACCTAGATCTAGCTGTGCATGAAGCCAGATCTAGCCCTGGACTTTTTCGTTATCTGGGCCAATAGGTTTCGTTGTTGGTTTTTTTTTGTTTGTTTGTTTTTTGCTTAAGCCATAACGCATTGAGTTTTGTTGTTACAATTAAGAGTCCTCTAATCCAAATCATGTCATTCCACCCCCACACCACAGCCACCAAACAGCCAAGGCCAACCACCTCCTACTGAAAACTTTAATGAAACCAATAAGTTAATAAGTTAACAAAGTGAGGTACTTGCATATCTGAGAACCGGTTTGGTGGGGAACCTTGACTGTGGAAGGAGCAAGGGCTTCTTCCCCAGTCTCCTTTAGTCATAGGATAATTCCATTCTCCTGCCCCTCTCCACATCTCTGTCTCTGAGGGGCCAGGGGTGTCTCGCTGGGGACAGTGCAGCGCAGGTGAGGTAAGCCAGGATAGGCTCCATCCAGGGCATGATGGTGACATGCAGAGGGCATGTTGGGCAGAGGCTGGGCACCATGGGGCTGAGCAAAATCCAACCCCAGCCCTGGTGCTGGTGCATGCAGGTCCCCAGTCATGAGATGCAGGCAGCTGGGCCTCAGCCCCTTGTTCACTGGTACCCCAAAGAAGGTCCCCTCATCAGCCACTACCCATCACTCTCCTGCCACCTGCAGTAACTTTGCAGAAGAGGAGCAAGGGGGTAGGAATACCAAAGAAGTGCTGGGGGCCTGGAGTGGATGAGGGCTTATGCCAGTATAGGGGCTACCAACTAAAGTGAAAAGTAGGGTATGGAAGGAGGGGAAACAGTGCATGTGAGTGTCAGATGCACAGTTGGGGCCTGAATACGGTGGTTGCTAGTGCATTATTTTTCTCTCTGGGAGTTACAGTGAGTAGAAAGGCAAGCTTAGATAGAAGCAAGCCTGATAACCACCTGGGGAAGGGCCTGGGGTCTTTCCAGTGCTATCCAGGCCCCAAAGGCCTAGGCCTGAGTTGTGCTGGGGGAACATCAAGAAGGGCCCTTGGGGACAAGCAGAGGCAGCAGTTAGGGCTCCTGGACCAGTGAGGAGTAGATCTTCTTGAGAAAGGGACTCTAGTAAAGCTCTGGGGTGGGGCCTGGATAGGCCTGGGTTCACTTCAGAGCTCCCTCTGATACCTGGATGGAGTGGGGGCACCACTTAGTGGACATCATCCTGCAAGGCCAGTCCATTGGCATCAGCGGCAGAGGCCCCAGAAAGGCTAAGTGGCTCTGTACTCATGTCTCCATGCGTGTGTGTGTGTGTCAGTGTGAGTGTGAGTGACTTTCTGCATGTCTGGGGAAACTAACGGGACATGTTTGTGGGACATGGGAGCATTATCTGGGAGGTTTGGGGGAGAGTACAGAAACCTGTGCTGTCAAATGTGAATGGAGGGCCAAAGAGGGGAATAGACATCTGGCAGGAAGAGAGGCCTCCTGGGCGGGGACACTGAAAAGGGGAAGAAAGGCCCAGGCACAGCTCTTGGAGGAGGCAAGGGAGAAACAGGCCCCATGCTGGGTGGGGAGGGGTGATAAGCCAAAGAGAGGAAATGGGGATCATGGCCAAGCAGCCTGAGACCAGCTACTGCTGGGGGCCCATCTCCCAATAAGGGATGGGCAAAGGGACCCCATGGGGGTCCCCAAAGTTGCATATTTAACATGGTTTGCATATATGGTGCCCACCTGCCTTATGGCAGGGTCCTATGCTTGTGGGTACCTGTGAGGGCACCTTGGGCCCACCCCCAAGGGGGGTGGGAACTTGGCGGGAGGGCTCCCTGCTCTGTCCGAAGGGCGGGCCAAGAGACCTCACCTTGCATAGCTGGAAGCTGGTTCAGGACCCAGAGCCCCAGCGACCCGCTCCCACTCCCGGGGCAGTGCCCGTGCCAGGCGGGCCGGGTTGGGCCTTGATGGAACGCGCAGGGCACTGGGGGGCCCAGAAGTCGCTGGGCAGCGCTGCTGCTGCCCTCTGTGCGGCCTGGCATCTCACGCTCCTGAGGTGGGGCGCGTCTCTGGCACCCACAGCGGGTATCTTGCCCACCTAGGCAGCTCAATACTGCGTGTGGCCTCTCTCCCCACAAGGGAGCGAGTTCAAGTAAGAGAAGAGTCCCGAGGCCTCAGGGGGCGGGTCCGAGCGCCAGGCGGAGGGGCTGGCCGAGTGCGGTCCGGACACTGAGAAGCCCCTCAGTCCATGTTGGTGCTGACCGAGCGGGAGATGCTGAGCGTCTGTGCGGAGATGGAGATGTCCTCGTGGTCCACAGGGCTGTGGTAGTCCGAGGTGATGTCCGGGTCTAAAAGCGGCACTTGCACGGTGCCCAGGCTGGCCGAGGTGCCAGAACGTAGGCACCTCGAGTAGAAACCCAACAGCAGGTCCAATTTGTGCTCGATGGACTGCACCTGGGGGCGGGGTGCAGATGGAGGCGGAACTTGCCGGGACTGGAGGCGGGACTTGGGGGGCCGGGAGCGGGGTGGTGCTGGAGGTGGGGCTTGGGTGGAGCGTGGCTAGAAGGCGGGCCTGGCCGGGACTGGAGGCGGGACACGGCTAGGAGGAGGGGTTTGTCCGGGGCGGGGCGCATCTGGGAAACGCTGAGCTTGGCCCGAGGGTGGGTAACCTGGGGCTTCCCCCCCCCCCCCCGAACAAATTAAATTGTGACTGGTTGGAATAATCCAGGCGATCGAGAAACAACCAAAGTGGGGTTAGATTAAGTAGGTGGGATTTAGGCGGGTTTATCTGAGACTATAGCAACCTGGGGCGGGGCTTGGCAGGAGAGGGTGGGTTTATCGTGGGCGGGCTTGCTGGGAGGAGGCAGGGCTTATCCGAGGGGCAGGGTTCTGCTGGGCAGAGCTTCGTGGGTCCTGCTTGGGCCTCCTGGGCTGGTAAGTGATCAGGACTGCGGCTCTGAGAAGCGCACCCTCCCCTCGTGCTTGTCCCGCGACTTTCCAGAGCGTCTCGGTTGACGACTAGCTCAGCCACACCAATGAAAGGCCCTCGCACACTCACCTGCTTTTCCACCTTGACCACGCGTCCCATCATACTAATTTCATCCGCCGCCTCGGTGTCCGAGGGCCCCTTGTCGCCTTTCTCCCGGGCCTTACGGTCCCCGGGGCCCCTGCCCACAATCTGGTCCACCCTGTGGGGAAAGGGAACTGGTCAGAGGGCCCAGACACACGCCCCCCCCCCCCCAAGAACTCGAGGTTGCCAGCTGAAAGGGAAGGCACAACCTGCACCGGTGGGAGGGGGCTACCTGAAGAGGGGCTATTTTGTCTAGCCCAACGGAGGGACCTGGCCACTGCTGCAAGTATTTTCCAACTAGCCCAGCAAAGGCATCACACAGAAGCATGACAAGTATAACAACCACCCGGTGGGAGGACAGGTGGGAAATGGACCGAGAAAAGAGGGAGAGACACGAATGGGCGTGGGAGTTATTAGACAAGACTGGAGCTGGTCCCACCTTATGTCTCTGCCCTTCTTTACAGCAAAATTCGTGGAAGTGTTTACTCTCTATCTCCAATTTCTCTCCTTCCATTCTCTCTAAAACCTACTCCAGTCAGGCTTTTATTTTCACCATTTCATCAAATCTGTTGTCAAGATCCCAAATGACCTCCATGTTGCCAAATTTGAGGATCACCTTCCAGTACTCATTATACTTTACCTATTAGCAACACTGGGCACATCTGAGTACCCCTTCTTCCTGTACTATCTTCATCTGGATTCCTGAACCCTACCCTCCCAGTTCTCCTACCTCACTGACTCTCCTTCACTGGAATCTCTTCAACTTACTCTCACTCGCTAAGTGATGTCTTCAGTTCCAGATGTTCATTCTGCTATACACTGTTGACACCAAATCTATACCTCCAGCACCATACCTCTCCTCTGAACACCACACTCCTATAACTGCCAGATCAACACTCCATTAGATGTCTGATAGGCATCATAAACCCAACATGTCCCAACTTTTCTGATCAAAAATTGCTCCACTCATTGCCTTCTCCGTGTCAACAGAGAGCAACTTTTTTTCTCTTGCTTAAGCCAAAAACCTTGGCTTCATCCTTGACACTTTCCCCCTCTTACACACCGTCAGGAAACCCTATCAACTCTATCTTCAAAATATATCTATAATCATTTCTCCCCTTGCTCCAAGTCCGCATCATCTCTCGCCTGGATGTCTGAAGTAGCATCCTCACTGGTCTCCCTCCTTCCAACCTTGCTCCCTTATAGACCATTCTCAACACACCACCTAGGGTGATCCTTTTCAAATATAACTCAGATCTCATCAATCCTTTGCTCAAAGCCCTCCAATGTTTGCATCTTACCTTAGATGAACACTAACATTTTTGCAGTGGCCTACAGGGCTTTATACAGTCTAAATGTCATTAGCCTTCTAACCTCATCTGCTAGTTCTCTTTCATCAGGCACAGTAGGCTGTCCCTAAAACAACACCCTAGCCACCTGCCCATCTCAAAGCCTTTGCACTGACTGTTCCCTCTGGAAAATATTTAAACAGCCACAGGACGGCTTGTCTCACCTTCAATTGTTTCCTCAAATATCACCTTCTCTCCTATTTAAAATAGCAAATGCCAACACCCTATCCCTTATTTTTCTTCATAGCATTTATTATTGTCTGACATGTTGCATCTGTTCTACTTCCACTAGAATGAAGGCTCCATGAGGGCAGGGACTCTGATTTGCTTTCCACCTGTCTGGCATGTAACAAATACCCAATGACTGTTTCTTGCAAGAACAAATGAATGAGCAGGCAGTGAGAGTTCCGGCCACCGGAGGAGAAGGGCAAGGTGTAGGTGATTTGGGGTCTTGGTATGAATTCTTCCTACATGCTGGGTGGAGAAAAGTGTCAGAGGATTCCAGAGGCAAGAGGTGGGCAGTATGGAGGGGGACACTTTGCCTATCCCCTTGGACGATGGGAGGTCATTGCTTATTTTAATCCTATTATTTTATAGCCAGGAAACAGCCATCTAAAGACGTCTCCTGAATTGTGCAGATCAGTAGAATTCTCACAGAGGACCTGCCGCTGGGTGGTTCTTCGGGTTCAAGACAGGTGCAGGGTCTAGCCTCAGCGGTGAGAAACTCCAGCTTCCGCAGCGGCCCCTAGGAGGCGCTCGGGTTTCATTCGGGTGCTGGCGAAGGGGCTCTGGCTTTGGGACCTCGAGCAGAATCTGAGGCCGCCTCCCTGCCTAGCTTCCCGGTTGGGGACAGGTGTACCCACCGAGTCTGAAGACTCTTGATCCTGCCCAGCATGTCCAGGTGCCCTGCCGAGTACTGCTCGATGACGTCCTTCACGTCGTATGGTCGCAGTGTCTCCTTGAATTTCCTTTTGGCCACCAGGAACTTCAGGATCCTGTCGGGGGAGGGTGTCTCAGAGGGAAGGAGTTCCTTTCCAGCCTCCTCTGTGTCCCTCTGCTACACCCTTGTCCAGCACCAGGACTCCTCCTGCTTGAGCCACGGCAAACAGCCCCTGCTGAGTCTCCCAGCCTCCCCACTTACCCACCCACCCAAAGTTTCTGGGGTATTCTTTAATGTGCCTGTATGTGCAGTGGCCTTAGCCTGGGGGGTGTTGGGGGGGGGCAGGGACTGGGCCTGGTTGCTCCCTGCTAGGTGGGACACTGTTGCTGATGACAGCTTGGAGAAAGACATTTTTGCATTCGCTCCCCCAATGCTTGTTAGCATAGCTGTGCTGGACCCTGGGCACCCAAGAGGCCATCAGGTCCAATCACCGGCCTCAGGAGCCCTGTTCTGAGGTAGCAGTCAGAGGACAGGGACAATAGAGAAAGAGGGCTGGGGGCAATGACAAGGGAGACCTTGGCTGGTGAGGTCAGGGAACAAGTCTTGAGAGTGACATTTTTAGTCCCAGGCCGGAGGAGGGGATGAAGGGAGGCTTTCTGGACGCAGGCAGGCATGAAGGTGTGTGAGCCAGTTCAAAGCAGCTGAAATAAGTTGGGAAGGGAAGGGGGATGGGGCACATGAGAGGCCAGGGAGAGACTGGCCTTGAGATGGGCGCTGGAGGAGGGTACGCCCAAGAGCCCCGAATCCCTGGCAGAGACTGGGCGATGGGAAATTGGGGTGGTAGGGAAAGGGCCATGATGTTTACTCTTCTTTAGCATGTCCATTCTGCCAGCCTTGGAGGAAACCTGGGAACCTGGGGCTTATTCCCCTAAAATAAATGTAACAGGAAGACCACCTCCAGGGCATGGGCCTGAGCTGGCAGGGGCCGGGGGGGCGGAGATACGGGGCAGCCTTGAGCAGTTCAGAACTAAAAGGCTTCCAAGTCTGAGTTCAGGGTGACGCCCATGGCTTGGGCAACAGGGTGGACGGTGGTACCACTGCCCGAAATGGGGACCCAGGAAGAGGAAGAGGTTTGGGCATGCTGGGGATAAGGCTGTGGAATGGCCGAGGAGTATTGACCCGGGCCAGGTGGCAGCCTGGGCACTGTGTTCCAGAAGCTAGTCACTTAGAGGGGAGAGATGGGATGTGCAAAAAGAGAGTGGGCAGAGAATTCAGATTCTCGGGGGGGGGGGGCCCAGCTGACTCTGATTTTTAAGCGAAGAGGCCTGTGGGCAGGTGCATCGGCAGGGAAGAGAGGAGGTGAGTCTGGAAGGCCTGGGGGTGAAGGCATCTCTGGAACTCGAGCTGCAGGCTAGAGACAGAGACTAGGCCAGGACTCCGCGCCAAGGGGCGCAGGGGCCAGATCACGGCTGGGCACGCCTGACGGGCTCAGGAGACTCTGGTCACCCCTTAATTGTGGAGCATGGAGACAGCAGGGCAGGGCTTTCAAACTTTTTGACTAAGACCTCCCATAAGAAATATATTTTACCTCACAATCCAGTACACAGAGGCACACAACTAAAAACACAAGTTTCACAAACATGATTTACCCTTACTACTAGGATGCACAATGATATTTTCTATTCGATTCGATTTTCTTTAATGCTGACCATGGACCACTAAATTGATTTCACTAAGTTGATTTCAAACTGTTGTGACCTGTGGTTTGAAAAGCATTGCTCTAGAGGAAGTCCTGGGGCAACAGACAGGCTGAGGTCAAGACACCCAAGGAGAGAGAGAAAGTTTCAGACACGGAAGGAGCGCATAAGGCAGACACAGGGAGAGGCAGGCAGATGCTGATGTACACACAGGGAGAGAGAAATAGAGAGGAGAGAGCCGGACGTAAAACAAGCAAGAGAAAGCAGGGAGGGTGCTGGGAGTGAGGAGAGGGGCCGTGATGGGCAGTTGAGCCAACTGCCCCCCCCCCCCCAGCAAGCCCTCTAGACATAAGAGTATGCAGAAACCCTGCTGGGAGCCATATGCCACCTCCTCACTCACCCACACAGGGGTGCCAGGCGGGCAGCAGCTGGTGTGCCCGGGAGCTAGGCCAGGCCTGGCCATGAGGGCAGGCCCCAGATGGGGAGCAGCAGTGGATGGCAGATGAATGGGGGGACGACCTACCTCGGGCCTAAGTCTCACCTGACTGAGCGGATGACTGTCTTCACAGCGGGCATGACGTCGTCCACCGTGAGCTCACACTGGTAGCCTTTCTCCTCTGCCACTTCCTCGGAGGGGCCCTCTGGAAAGTGAGGGGACGCAGGTGGTGGCAGCAGAAGGGGCCACTCCCACCTCCTACATGCCAAACCGTCCTTAGAAGTATTGATAGGGAGACTGAGGCCCAGAAAGGACCTAGAACCTTCCAGGGGGCACAAGCAGACCAGGCTCTAGCCTCCCGGATGCCCTACCCAGAGTGGAAACCCCCAGTTCACTGCATGGCATCTCCCTGTGGCCAGACAGGGTGAACATGTCCCTGTGGCCAGGTGCGTTGAAGCACATCCGGTCTGGCCTGGGGCAAATGGCCCAGAGCCCTGGAGGACGCCCCGCCGGCCCCGCCACGTGGCACAGGGAGTCCAGAGCAAGGCGGCTTGCGGCCTCTGCACACAACCACGCACACAGCCTTTCCTTCAGCCAACAGGGAAGGAAGCTTGAGGGGCTGGCTTCCCTGTTTTCCTTCCAGACTAGAGCAAAGGCTTTTCCAAGCCTGGTGCCCAGCAGTGCACAGAGAGGTGATGCTATCCTGGCCTCACAGGGGCACACGGTGGTGGGAGGCCAGGTATGTTCTTGGACATGGAAGAGGAGGCCCCGGGCACCAGCTGTCATGGGTCAGCACCTCCCAAAGACTGGGCTGTGTGGTTCTGTAACTTTCTAGGAAAGGACCCTCCCAGTTGTCAGCCAGCAGCACATTAGGGGCTGACACAGCACAGACAGGGGCAGCATAGCTGAGGCCCCTCCCTCCAAGGCCAAAGGGGCTTCCTGTCCCCATCCTCCATCCTTGTCCACCCACACCCTCCTTTTTCCACCCAGGGGTCTGAAGCATGTCAACGCTGGAGAACTCTTCCAGGGAACCTCCCGTTTTCCAGAAGAGAACACTGGGGCAGAGAAAGGAGCAGTTTCTTGTCTAAGTCACAGTACAAGTTAGGAGCGAAGCTAGAACTAAAAAAAAGTGACCTCTAACTGGTTAAAGAGCAAGCCCCGCCAGGCTGGGCTGGGAGAAGAGGGGCAGGGTGTGGAGCATGGGCTGTGGAGCTGGACAGACTCGGTTGAGGACAGCAGCTCTGCCACTGACCAGCTGAGAGGTCTCAGTTTCCACGTCTGTGAAGTGGGGATAAAAACAGAACCTACTTCCCAGGGTGGTTGGCAGAAGTGAACAAGAGAATCCACCAAGGATGGACTCCTGCTCCGTCCACAGCACATGTGTGATGCAGCTAGCTTTAGGTGAGCGCTTACTATATTCCAAAAACTCTTCTGTTCACCTTCCATGGATAATCTCCTTTAATCCTCATAACAATCTTATGAAGTAGGTACTATTTTCATCCCCATTTTACAGATGAGGAGAATGAGTCCTAGAAAGAGTAGATTACTCAAGACCAATGGCAAAGGCAGGATTCAAACTCAGCAGCCTGGCTTCAAAGCCTGTGTCCTTAACCACTACCAAATGCCACCCTCCGCATTCTCCTCGGATTCTCAGGGGGGAGCCCGGCAGAACAGGTATCATGATGCCCATTTTACAGACCAGAAGACCAGTGCCCAAAGATGGTCAATCAGTTGCAGAGCCAGGATTAAAACCAAGTCTTTCCACCCCCAGCTCAGACTCTGTCCCCACCCTGCCACCCTCAGCAGGTCCTGGGCCCCAGACCCCCAGGGCTCACCCTCAGCAGAAGCTCGGGGTTTGAGTCTCAGAGAGGCCCGGAAGCGAGTGCGGTCATTGAAGCTCCAGCTCTTCTGGACCTTGGTGGGGCTGGTGGGCTCACCCACCTGCTCACTGCTCGGGGAGGTGGCCATTGGTGGCGGTGCCAGGTGCTGCTTGGAGGGGCCTGTCCGCCGCTGGGAGCTGCCGATGCGGATGCGGTCTTTGATGCCCATGCGGCTGCTGGCAGGTCAGGTCAGACGGGGGAGAGAGCCAAGTTAGCCGGAGGTAAGGTAGGCACGAGTGCAGACACAGCTGACTTAGAACTTGGGGGTGGTTATTGGGTCTTAGTTCTCCACCAAGTGGAGACTTCCTGGGATGGGACAAGGGTGTGGTGAGGGGGGCCCTGACTCCTAATCCAGGTTCAGTCTGAGCAGATCCTCTCCCCGCCCCACTCCCACCTCCCACCCCTCGTTGCCCAGACAGATAAGGGGTGCACAGGAGACAGATGTCAGAGTGGAAGGAGCGATAGAAACCCAAGAAGGAAGTCAAAGACACACAGGAGGACAGGGGAGCTGGCCTGGCCCAGATGGGCGGGTGGGTGGAGGTGGTGACCAGCGGGGCAGACAGGCTGCTAAGGGGTGGAGAAGCTCTCCTGGGCATGCCCAGTGAGGTAAGCCTCCTGCTCTCCACTGTACACAGGGCAGGCTATGTGGGTTTGAGGGTGTGTGCAGGGTGTGTGTGTGTGTGTACGTGTGCATGCACCCATGTGACAGTGGGTACACATGAACCCGTGTGTGTACATATGTTGAGGGTTGTGTGTACACGTGTCCATTTCTGTTTTCTTCTTTTTCCACCCCTGGAGCGATCTAACCCGCACTGGTCAGGGCTTCAGGACGGTAGTGCCCTGCACGGTTCCAGAGGACGTCACGCAGGCTCAGTGTCAGTGCGCACTGGCCTGCTGAGGGGCTGGGGCTTTGGTTTAGTTGCTGGGCCCACACGTGTGCCCAGGACGTGTCTGGTGCCTGCCCTCCCAGTGAAGGTCTATAACCTGTTCTTCTGGGGTCTCCCCTGCTTGAACTCTGCCCACCTGGACTGATAACCTGCCCGTGTGACTATGGACGCCCCCCCCAACAACCCCATCCCCCCATACCTGTTCACTAAGCCCCCAGAGAACAGCACCTACACTGTGCTCAGGTGAGCAGGCAAGTGCATGTCTGCCTGCTCAAACTCCCCTTCCCACACCCCAGAGCCCCCCACATCCCCAAACCATGGAGGAAGACAGGCTGGGGGGAGCTCAGGTTCCCCAGAACAGGCCCTGGATAACCAATACCTGGTAGAGTAACTCTGTGTCCAAGAGGTTCAAGGACCATGTTATCGCTGTTGGAGTAGGACCTATGCAAACGTCCCCCATCCCATGCCCTGTGGGTATCACAGCTGCCTCCCTGTCGTGGCTTGCCACTTGGAGGGCCCCGGGCAGATAGGTTCCAGGGCCCTTCTACCCCAAATGTCTAGGGCCCTGGCTCAGTAGAGCACCAGCCAGTCTCAGAGGAGGCCTGAGGTGGGGCAGGAATTGGGGGACCAGACTGTGTCACCTACTTTCAGATCAAGGGTATAGCAGAGGATAGATTCTGGTTTCAGAGTTGGGTGGGAGCCGGGGTCCACCATGCCCAGGGCATGGGGTCCAGAGCACAGAGTCGAGGCACTGAGGTGACGGAGATCTTGAAACCAGAGGCACCTTCGGGAAGGCAGCCAGGATGCAGGGCATCCTTAAAGTAGGGGCCTCTGCCCAGAGGGGAGAGGTTATAGATCAAGGATTGGGGACCTGAAATCAGAAGGGAAGGCAGGGGTGGCCCCTGAAATCTAGCATGCTGTTTTCTGGCCCAGTATCCCTTCAACACATCGCAAAGTTTCCAACCAAAGTTTGAGGTTGGCTCTCCCAAACTTTCCTCTGCAGAGCCATTCCTTCGAGCTCTCCTCATGCTGGCAAGCAACCCCACACCCGCCCGGCCCGTGCAACCTCTCCTGTCCTCCACTCCTCCAAGGGGGAGAGGAAGAGGGGGAGCTGGAGAAGACCCCGACATTCAGCCGAGGGCCTGGAACTCCAGGTCTCTGCACCCAGCACATCACTCCAATGGTATTCTGGCATAAGGGGATGACCTCCCTGTCATGAGAAGTGTGCAAGCAAGGCAGCTTGCACTCAGCAGGATTTGTGGAAGAAAAGGTCTGGGGGCTTGTACTAGAGGCCTTGAAAGGTCCCTTTCCAGCTCTGATTCTGTGTTGGTTGATGGGCTGTGGGTTCTGTAACTTTCCAGCCAGCCAGAGGCCCTGCGCTCCTCTTCAATGTAAGAAGGCTCTGTTTTCCCAGGGGTGTCCCTGGATTCCAGCTCCTTGGACAGGGCCCAGAAAATGGCTCACATGAGCCTCTCTGGAGCCTAAAAGCTCAAAGAAAATGGAAAGAAACCTGGCACACGGTGGACATCGAAAGAGCGCCTTCCTTTCCCAGGCTCCTTCGAACACGCAAGGTCCTGTCTCACTGCCTCAGCCCTCCAGTGCTCAGCCACTTCGTGTGGTGGGTTCCGTATTTTCCATCCCTGTTTTATAGATGTAGAGGGAGGTGAAATGACTTGCCCAAGCTCACAGAGCACCTATGGATAGAGCAAGGACTGGAACCCGGTTTTTTCTGCCTGTGTAGACTGTGTTCTTTCTCTGGGACAAGCGATCAGGATAGGGTCTAGGGCGATGGCTCTCAACGGGGGGTGATGTTGCTCACTAGGGGACATTTCGCAATGTCTGGAGACGTTCGGTTGTCACACTAGGGTGTGCTCCTGGCACCTAATGGGTAGAGGCCAGGGATGCTGCTAAACATCCAACAATGCATGTGGCAGCCCCTGATAACAAAGAAAGATCAGACCCAAAATGTCAATGGTGCCGAGGTCAAGAAACTCTGATCTAAGTGACCTGTTGGTGCCTGGGAAACGGATGGGGTGGGCTTGAGTAGGGCTGTCCTGCTGGACCCCATCCCTGTACTCACTTCCACGGGGGGTTTCTTTAAGGACTCCCCATCTGCCTGCCAAAGGCCAAGGTCATGGGAAGAGAGGCAGCCTACCTTTCTGGGGCTGCCTACAGCCTCTCTTTTCAGGACTGTGGAAACAGCCTCATCACTGGCCCCTCTGCCCTGGCCTTGCCCTTCGTGACTCTCATGCCCACACAGCCAAAGTCATCTTGCAAAGGGACAGAGCTGGTGACTCCTTGGCTGAACCCTTCAGTGTGTACCCACTTCCTAAAGCCATGGTTTCCAGGCTCTTCCAAGTAAGATCTTAACTGCTCAACATACCAGCATCATATAGACCTGCCTATGAGTCAGACAGTTTGTGCAGAAGCAGATCCTATTATCATCTACCATCTAACATTCACATCTGAGAAACCAAGGAGCACAGGGCTTATGTCCAAGGTCCCTGAGCTACTGTACTGAGTGGCAGCCAGCTTCAGACCCAGAACCCACATTTCTAAGAAACACTGCCTCCGGGGAGAAAAGCCAGGCGCTCTGTCATCTCCGGCCCCCAGTCCCCAAGGCTCCAGAGGAACTTTTGGGAAACCTAGGACTCCATGAACCCAAGTTTCCAGGCAGTGCCAACAGGATGAGGCCCACACTGGGCTTTTGGGTTCTTCATGACCCAGCTCTGCCCCCGGTCTCAGCTCCTGACCTCCCACTCAGATCTGGCCATGCTGGGCTGCTGGCCCTTGGCCATGGCTGTGCTCTCCCTCACCTCCTCACCTTGTCACTTTCTTGACCTATAATGCCCTCCCTCATACCCACTCGTTTTGGGGCCTCCTTGGGGTGAAGTGCCTGACTCAGGCTCCACAGGCCCTCTGCTTCCTCCTTTTGCTACACTTACCACACCAAAGAGCAATTACTCTGCAACTCTCCAGGCTCGTTTTATTCATCACTGTGTCCCTAGTGTGGGACCTGGCATGGTGATGTGGCTAAAAGAGCTGGCTCTGGGGTTAGCGAAGGAAATGTCAATCCCACTCCTTCAGGCATCTGCTGGGTCCCCAGGTGGGCAATGGAGAAGCTAAACCCAAGGCCTAGCAAAGGTCAGAGTGGGCGGGACCCTCAGAGAGCCTCTAGTTCAATCTGCCCATTCCACCGATGGGAAACTGAGGTCCAGAGGAGGGAAGCAATTTGGCCAAGGTCACACAAGGGGTCAGCGGCAGAGCCAGAACTCATCCCAAGCCTCCTGTAAGTGTCCCTCCTGGCAGAATGGGCATCAGGCCCATGCCCCCAGACTTGGCAGAGGCATTCCCAGGAAGGCGAGGGGCTCATCAGGGCCCCAAGGCAGATGGCAGGCGGCAGGCACATGCACCTTGTCCTTGGCCCATCCTGTCCCCCTCTCCAGCCCCCAAACTGGGTGGGGCAAGGAGGAGGGGGGGCAGGAGGAGCAGGTAAGGGGTACCTCGGTCTCCAGCTGGCGTGGATCCGAAAGAAACTCCGTTTATTACTAAACATCTGGCTGGAAAGTTGAGAACAAGACACAAACAGAGGTTAGTGGGAAGGAGACAGGTGGACTGAGCATGGGGAGCTGCCAGGATGGGTCCGGCCTCCTGTTGCTGGTGGGAGAGAAGGCCCCCCGACCCAAATCATCCTCCGGCCCACATTCCCAGAATGCAGACTTTCTCAAGCTTTGCATGAGGATCTCCAGGGAAGCAGGTTAAATATGCAGAATTCTGTGTCTGTTCTCCAGAGAGTCTCCTGGGGGCCTGGGAGAGGTCCAGCAATCTACATGTTCAGCAAATACCCCACAGGATGCTGATTCAAGAGGTCAGTGGACCAAGCTTTGAGAAACACTGGCACCTCATCACAAAACCCCAAAGAGAGGAGGCGCCGACAATGCCATGTCCCAGGAAGTCCTGCTCCGTGTAGTCCTGGGAATGTGCTCGGCCTGGGTCTAAACAAGCACCACTGATGGAGTGACCAATCAGGTGTCTGTATGTGTATGCATGTGGGGTCCCACCTGGGACACCCATGCCATGGGTCCCAGATAGCCAAGATTAAGGATATAATCATTTGACCTGAGTCTGGTGCCTGACCTCCTAGAAGTCACAGCTCAGCCCCCTGGGGCCCTTGATAGAAGGGACGTAACACCACCATCACCACGAGTCCCAGCCACATAGACACTCCAGGACAGACGAACATAGGCTGGGAGTTAGTGATGGCCAAGCTCTCAGCAATAATCTGTTCACAGGCCTTGGGGGGCCTGGAGACCCCCGGCAGCTGTGAGGGGTGGTGCAGGTGCTGGTCTCCGGGCAAATCCCCATTCCCGGGCCTTCCTAGTCAGGTCGGGTGAGACCAGAGCGAACTGGAAGCTACAGAGCACCCTGGCTCAGCTGGGCAGGGTGGCACCAATGCCAAAACTTTTGAGTTTCTGCCTGGAGGCCGGGCCTGGTTGGGGATGGGGATAACAATGACGGCCTTCAGGCCATGACAGAGAATCCGAGTGGGGCTGCACAGGGGACACTCTTCCAGGGAACTGCCAGCCTGGCCTGGACAGCCATGTTCCACCCCCTCCTCCAGCCCCGGACCCGGAGGGCTGGCTCTGCCTCTCCACCCTCTTCCCATTAAGCCCCCCACCCCCCCGCCGGACGTGTCCTCACTGAGAAAAGGAAAGAAATGTTGCTCCCAGAATCCCCCACACCAAAACCACCTCCTCCCGGTTCTCCAGGCTTTTCTGTCCAGAAACGAGCTTATCAGCTTAAACATCACTGATTTTCTGCCCAGGACCCAGAGGCTCAGAGTGACTTGATGACTTTCTCAAGGATGCACAGCATCAGGTGGCACAGGCAAGCTCTCACCGGACCTCCTGACCACAGAGTGGCTCACCCCTTCCCCGGCCTAGTTCTGGGCTGCAGGCTCAGCATCACACCTGAGGCTCAAGGCCCAGACGCCCGGCTGGCTGATGCAGGGATGATGAGTGAAGATGAGACGAAACGAAGAGATGGGTAGGGGACCAGTGAGACATGAGGGGGGATTGAATCCTTGACCTCAAAGCTATACCTCCACAGGGGCACTACTTCCCCATTCTGAGTTAGGGACTTCCCTTACTCAACTAGGCTTGAGATTCCATTGTTATGAACATTTATTTATATGTGGGAGGGTAGACACTATCATTTCTTTGTTCTTTTTTCAAGATACAAAAGCTCCAGGAGAGTCGGGTCAAGGGAAAGAAGACTGTTTGGAGCAGCAAAATGTCCCTCAGTAAGGAAGAAAGGCATTGTGGGAGAATCCCAGGAGGATCCTCTGGGATTAGCAAAGCTGTGCCAAGGGTTACACGAGACAAGAGCATTAGTCATTGGTTGAGTTTACGTAGGTCCTACAGCGGTTCTTAGTCACAGAGCTCTCTTTCCAGCTGGCATCTTCCTCCCGAGAGGAGAGTTCAGTGTCAAGCCCTTTCTAGAGGAACATGCTGGGGGAGGGGCCCCTGCCCTCACACCCCAGAATGGTGCCCACGATTACCTGAGCCGTAAGCACCTGTGGCCAGCAACCTCCTCCTCTCTCCAGCTTCGGGAGGGATGGGGGTGCAGGGACGGAAGAGTGAGGGGGGCGTGCAGAGAAAGAAAGAGGACAATGGAATGAATGGAGGAGGTGATGGGAAAGGATGGTGTGGACAGATTCCCCAGTCTCCCAGGTGACAAAAGAGGTGAGTCCAGCCTGGCCCCTCCAGAGGGGCTCTCAGTCTGCACCTGCCAGGCTGTCCGACGACAAGTGCCCAGGCCTCATGACAAGGCCCGGGAGTCCCCAGAACAGGCCCAGACACCCATGTAGTGACTGGACGCAAGTCTGAGAAAGGATGAGACAAAGAATGAAAGAGGAGGAGAAGCAAGAGGAGGCGGTGGCCCCAGAGGGCCCCTACCTTTCCCCAGGGCAGAAGGAGGCGCTGCCCGGCCGGTGGCAGGTGGCAACGGGCGGGTAACGGGAGGGCGCTCCGTCGGGTACTGGCGCCCGCCGCACCTCCAGGGGCCGTAGGCCCCCATTGCGGGCCCGTTGTACGTGCTCAAACAAGAGGGCCAGCTCTCTGCAGGAGAGGGTGCCGTCAGCAGCAGGCAGGGCCCTGGCACCACCCCCTTGTCCGGTGGGCACTGAGCTCCTGAGCTCACATCCTGCCAGGCCCTGCCTCTCTAGAGGTGCTCATCAAACAGTCCAGGCCAGAGTAGGTAGGGCGCAGGGTGGGAGAGACTAGCCTTCCTTCCTCCCTTTCTACACTCAGTTCCTGGGGAATCCTTAGGGATGCCAAGTATGGTTGTGCAGGCTGGGCACTCTCCAGACCACCCTCCCAAGGGGGCAAGTGGGAGCTGAAATGCCACTTACTCTGCTCATCAAGCTGCTTGCCTGGGCATGGAGCTGTGCCTACCATATCCAGTGGCAGCCCTGAAATCCTCACCCTCCACATCTGACTCTGGATTTCAGGGGGGAAACTGGGGCTGAAGAGGAAGACTCGATACGGTGGCTGGCCAGCTTCCTTCCCTGCAGCTCTGGGTTCTTGAACACCAGATTTGGGGCTCAGCTTCTTCCTAATTCCCCAGGCATTTCCATAACCCAAGGAAGATATAGCCCCTTTCTGCCTTCCCATTGTATAGATGAAGAAACTGAGGTCCAAGGAGCAGAAGACCCAGTGGACCCAGAATCTCCAAACTGAGCTCTGTCCCTCTTATGAGAGGATCCAAGACCAACCCACCCCAAAAGCATCCCTCCCCCTCACACACACATCATCTTTCTAACAAATCAGCCCCTGCACCACTCCCCAAGGCCTGGCCCTGAGACCTTAGGGCTCCTCCTGGAAAGGGCAGCTTCTAATCTAACTACCTTCCTTGTCTCTGAGGTGGGAGCTTGCCTCTGCCAGGTCGCAGGATGGGGAAACCAGTGTGATCTGGGAGCCCCCTTCCCAGCCCCTTCTCTCCTGCTCCTCTCCTGGGAGTTCCCCGGGGCTGGAGGGAACGGAGGGAGGCAGCCAGGTGTAGGATGAGTGGGATCATGCAACAGCTGCTCTTGAAGAACTAATGAGGCAAAAAAGGCAGAAGCGCTGAGCACAGCAGCCTGGCCCCCTTGATGCTGCTTGATGCCTGCAGGCCCGCGGGACCGAGCAGTGCTCTGTGGTCTTCGTTTCCGCCCAGGGGTCTGGCCAGGCACCTGGCCACACGAACCTTGATGATGCTATTAGTAATCCCCTGCATGGAGCCACCCCTGAGCAACCTTACCCTGACCTGGCCTGTGGGGTGCACTCATTTCTGGGCCCTAAGGCTGCTGCCTGGCACAGTAAAAGGAGGTACATACTCACTCACAGGGGTGCTATGTGGGCCCTTGCACCCAACTCTGGCACACCCATTCTTGCGCATCCCACACTTTCTCTGTCCAGCTGCACTGTGCCAGGCTGGAAGGGCTAACACTGTCCCCACTCAGACTGAGGGGAGATGAGCTGGCTGTGCCACCGCCCGGAGTGGCATCAACTCGAGGTTAGCATGTGCACGGCCGGCGCTCCAGGACTCCGGGCTCAGCGGAGGGGCAGGGCTCCACCTCATGCCCTGTGTTCAGTGTCCACAGCCTCCCCGGGCACAGAGAGTGGGGGAGAAGCACTCCAGGCTCTGAGTTAGGGGGGTCTGCAGAGCCAGCCCCAGGAGCACCCCTGGGAGCCATCACTCCTTTCCCACCCTCCAGGCTGGGTTCCAGCCGCTTGTCCTCAAGGGGAATTCCCGCCAGCCCCTACCCAGCCTCCCCCTGCATCAGGGCCTACCTGAAGGAGGGGAGGATACTGTCGTAGTAGTACCAGGTGGCCGTCAGGTAGGCCCGGTTCCTGTCAGTGGAGTATAGGCGCCATGCAGCCTGGTGGTATGGGGGAAGGGAAACGGGAGACGAGACATCACTGAGGCCTCTCGGACCCCCACCAGCCCTCTGCCCCTAGAGAACCCAAGCCTTGGACCAGCTGAAGGGTACTCAGAACCAGAAGCCAGTTCCAATTCCACAGCCGCCAGTAGGGCCAGCCGAAGACATGGAGTTCTGGAGAGAAATGACTTGTCCACGGTGCAGAGCAGACCAGCCTCAGACCCAGGGGCCTTCGAGGGCGGCCAGAAGAGCTGGGGTTTTGTCATCAGGCGGATGTGGGTTGACAAACTGTGCCCCTTATGAGTGTGAGCAAATTAAGTAGAGCAGCAGAGCCTCAGTTACCTCATCTGTAAAATGGATGTAATACTACTCACGTAACCAGGTGTTGTGAGGATTAAATGGGGCAAATGTATGTGAAATGGCAAGTGCAGTACCTGGCACCTAATTGGCACTGAATGCCAAGTTCCCCTGTTAAACCCTCCTGTTATCGCCCTTACTATAGCTGATAGACATCCAATCATTGTGTATTTGATTGTCTTTCTCTCCTCCTAGACTGTCAGCTGTGTTTTGGTCACCATTGTATCCTCTGGCACATGGCAGATATTCTGCAAATGTTCAAGGAATGAATGCTGAGTGAATCATTACTAATAATAACCCCACCCCATCTTCCCCAGCAGCCTGTCTCTGCCCGTGGGCTGAGGAGGGGAAGACAGAGCATCAATTCCCTCAGCACTCACGGAGTTGCAGGGTTTCCTTGCAGCAGGAGGGATGAGGGTCAGACAAGAGGAAGGTCTGATTCCTTCCCTCCAGGTAAGGGGAAGAACTGGGGAGGGACTGTGAGCTGGGCCATCAACGAGGGTAGGGAGGCATGGAAGCTGTTAGGCAGCACAAAGTAGAACTGGCCCTGGATGCCCCCCTTTTTTGGGTGCCTCCTGTCCTTAAGGTACTGCCCAGTGATGAACTCACCAGTCGGGCACCCTCCCAGGACAGGAATATTTTTACTTCCTGCTTGCCTAGGCCCCTGGCTTAGGCTGGGGAGCAGCTGCCAGACTGTCTCATTAATTATGGGCACCACAATACCAGCTGTCTCTCGGCATGGACAGTGCCAGCCGCTTGCCCCTACAATGCCCCTCCAAAGGCCAGCTCCCAGGGGACAGTAGCCATTGTGCCCCAGGGGACACTGAGAAGAAAAGGCTGGGCTGGTGGCCGGCGATAGCAGGGATGGGGAGGGGAATTCCACCCTGGGGAGGAGAGATAACAAGGGGTTGAATCAGACTTGGGTTGGGGTCAGAGGGTGGCATGCTGGAGAGCTGCCGACGTGGGCTGTGCCAACATTCCCTGAACTGTTTCTTGCAGGGGTGTCTCTTGCCCACACACCTGACCAGGGAGAAGCCAGGGCTGAGTCACAGAGTCATACAAATCAGAGCCTTTGTGACCCGTCAGAATGCCTCAGCATAGTGGGAGAAACTGAGGCTACACACTGCTGGTTTTTACCCCACCCTCTGGCTGCTACTTCTGTCTTCTTGGCTGGTTCAACTTTGCCTGCCCAGCCACACAATGTGGAGGCTCTGAAAAGCCTAGTTCTGGACCATCTCTGCTCCCTCCTTCCTCTGCCCACTAGGGAGCTCATCCATGCCCGGGGCTCTGTTACCGTCTACACGCAATGGGTCTACATCTCTGCCCAGCCCGTTTCTCTCTCAGCATCACACCAGCACGTATGGCTGCCTGCTCAACATCGCCACCCAGGAGCCGAGAAGACCCTCAGACTCCACATGCTCTAGCCAAATTCACATTCTTCATGCCCCAAGTCTGGTCCCACTCTAGTGAGCCGGGCCATCAACCATCCAGATGGGCAAGCCCGGCAGTAATCCCACGTGGAACTCACCCCACCATCTCCCTCATCCTAACTCCTGATGTCACCAATTTCACCTCCTAAATATGCACAATCTGACCATTTCTTTCCATCTCACCTGTTGCGACCCTAGTCCACACCCCCCACATCCTGCCTTGCCCGGACTGTTGCCAGAGTCTCTCATCTGGTCTTCCACACATACTGAGTCACCCTCCACCCATTCAGTACTTTTCAACACAAATCTGATTGTGTCACCCACTCCTCTCCTTCAGACCTGTTGGTAGTTCCACAATGCTCTTAGGGAAAAGTTAAACTCCTCCCTGTGGCTCCAGGCCTGGGCCTGGTCCACATACCCACTATCCACTCTTCCTTCAGCTTTCTGCTCCGGCCCTGCTAGCCTCCTTCCAGTTCATCAGACACACCAGGACCTTTGCACATGCTGTCCCCTTACCCTGAATGCTCCTCCTTCACCTCATCACCTAATTAATACCTACCCATCATCCAGCTCTCAGTCCAAGTGTCATTTTCCCAGGGTAGTCCTCCCTGAATCCCCCTTCAAGGTTCCCTGTTAAAAGCTCTTCAGAGAACCATTTCTTTCTTTCAAGACATTGATCTCAGTTTGTAGTTACAACATTTATTTGTGTGAATGCTTGTAGAATGAATTAATGAATTAAGATGTCAGGAGTGGAACAGGATTACTGATGGCTGTGCAGCTGACGGGTGTCTCTGCCAAGCACCTAGGGCCTCTCGACCAGGCTGTATTCCACTTCAGGCCATGTAGAGTTGGGACCAGAGTCGGCCAGTGGGACAGCTCTGGCTAATCCTAAACTGGGCATTCGGTACAGAGGGACATTTTTGACAATCTGAGTCAGCATCCCCGCTCTGTTCCTGACTTGGCATGTGACCCAGAAAAGTCACATCTCCTCTCTGAGCTTCCAAGTGGAGTCACAGTTGTGAAGCTGGGACACAGAGTCAGCATACATTGTGGACACATCGATTCAGTTCAGGGGCTCCCTAGGCATCCTGTACCTGGATGAGGTTGGCCGCTGGCATCCTCCGCTTCTCAAAGTGCTTCTGCCGGTGCTGCTCCTGCACCTTCAGGGCAAAGCCAGAGCCAAGGATGCCCTAGGGGGACAGGCATGGTTGGGGGAATGTGGTAGTGGGGACCACAAGAGGCAATCTCTGCCCATGTTAGATGTTCCCCACCACTCATGTGGGATAGGGACTTAGCAAGCTCTGCCCCCAGGCCCCTCTTCCTAGGCTGGGTGATCCTAGGCAGAGAGGGACTCACGGCAGGCAAGGCAAAGAAGGAGATGCCGAGTAAGGCGAAGCCAGCAGCCAGGACCCTGCCCAGCCACGTGTGAGGCGTCTTGTCACCATAGCCGATGGTTGTCAGTGTGATCTGGGAACACAAACAGATTACCCAAGGTGGCTACCCACAAGAACTTGTTGGGAGCATAGACAGATGGAAACCTGATCATGAGGGAAGGGGCCCCCACAGTGGCCCACAAAGGTTTGGTCACAAGGACTTGTCATGGGGACTGGTTAGGGGCACAGACAAATTCCACACCCTGCCCCAGGCCCCATGCAGGGATACAAGTCACAGGAGTTTGAATCTGGGACTAGATGCGGGCACAAGCAGGTCCACTGGGGCAAATTGGGGAGCTAGCATACAGGCTGGTCATAGGGGGTTCCAGCCGTAGCAGAGACAGCAGGGAAGGGCCTGCTCAACCTTGAATCAGAGGTCACAAGGGTTAGGGATGGTCCTAAGGAGAAGGGCAGCCTTATACAGACCCCCACCTACCGTTCCCCACCAAAGCGAGTCAGCGTAGGAGGAGAAGTCAGAGTTGGCATCCTTCTCGGCCAGATAGACCAGGAAGGAGGCGAAGATGAGCACCAGGAACCCAATGTACCAGGCGGTGATCAGCTCCTGTGGGTACAGCAACCAGTGAGACCACAGGCAGGGCGGAGGGGGAAAGGCAGGAGGAAGTGGGTAATGCTATGCCCACCAGGGAGAGGTGGGAGGTTCCCAATGGCCAATGAAAGGTGTTGGGGAAGGGGATAAAAAGCACCCCACCCTTGGCGGGAGAGTGGAGGTGTCAGTGGTTAGAGCTTTGTCTGTGCAGTGAGGGGTCGCCTGTTGATTCCTGGTCAAGGCCACGTGCCTGGCTTGCAGGTTCATCCCCAGCCCAGGTCCGGCGCATGGGGGAGGCAATCAATAGATGTGTCTCTCTCACATCCAGGTTTCTCTCTCTCCTCTTCCCTCCCCCTTACGCTCTCTCTAAAAATCAATGGAAAAGATCCTCGGGTGGGGATTAACAACAACAAAGAAGTACCCCGCTTTGTAGTTCCCGGGCTCCGGTCCTACCCGCCTTTCTCGTCTGCTCCCTTCAGGGAGACCTTGCCCCTCCCTCCCGAAAGGGCCAGGCCCTCTTAAAACCGCAAGACACGCCCTGATCCCGCCCTTGACCCTCCAGGTTCCACCGCGCAGACCTCTACCCCCAGACCCATCTTGCCCCGCCCCCCAAAACCCACTTTCAGGCTTCGATCTGGTCCCACATCTAGATTCATCCCCATCCCACCCTCAGACCCCGTCCCAGCTCCCCACTTCTCTGTGCACGTAGACCCTCCAACCCAGAAGTTTGTAAGTGAGACCCTCAAGCCCTACCCCTCAGGCCCCGCCTCCTGGCCTGGTCCAGACTCCTGGACCCCACCTGGACCCAGCTTGGACCGTGGGTCCTGACCTCCAGGCCTCGACCGGTCGCGCCTCCCGCCCCGGGCTGCACTCCGGCCCCGCCCCCTGCTCGCCTGGCCCCGCCCCCGACACGCCCCCCGGCCTCACCTTGCTGTGCGCGTAGACCACGGAGCCCAGCAGCTTCCAGGTGCCGCCGCGGCGGTCCATGCGCACCATGCGTAGGATCTGCAGGAAGCGCATGCTGCGCAACGCGGACGTGGCAAAGATGTTGCCCTGCGTGCCCGCGGCGATGACGGCCACCGAGGCCACGAACACGATGAAGTCTGCAAGGGTGGGGATGGCGAGGTCACGGCCAGCGCCAGTGAACCCGAGGTCGGGGACTCCTGGGATCGTGGGGCCGGGTTGGGGATTGGGAGGGTCCGTTGTGTCTGTGCCAGAAGCCAGGGTCCGGGTCAGATATGGGGTCAGGGTGTCAACCCTGGGGCTTGGGGTCAAGGGTAAGGCGCGGGGGTGGGAGGCGGGCCTTGTTACCGATGACACAGAAGGGTTTTCTGGCAAAGCGGAAGCGGCCCTGCCATCCTCGGTAGCGGCAGCAGCATCCAGCGGACCAGACACGGATGATGTACTCCAGGCCAAACACCACGATCATCACAAATTCCTGCGGGGCCAGGGGCCTGAGTTCTCCCCAGTCTCCAGCCCGGAAACAGCCTGGAGTCCCTGGGTTAGGGGTACTAGGATTTCCTCAGATCACCTCTTCTGCAGGTTCCTACACCTAGATGACCCTGAGGAGGATTCTAAAAGGCAGGTGGCCCCTTCCAAAGAGACTGAAAGTCCAAGTCTGTCCTCTCTTTACATCCCCATGAGCTGTCTGGGTTTTTCTCCTCACCCCTTCTCCCCCTCCCAGTCATCCCAGACTCTGTGAAGCAGACTAAGTAACATAAAGGGTGGCTGTGTGTTAACTGACCCCCTCCAAGATGCTTCTGTTGGCGCGGGGAGTGGGGAGGCTCGCTAGGGGTGGAGTTAGCAGTTTGGGTCCTGAGAAGGAGTGGTGACCTACTCACCTCCTCTCTCGACCCATCATAAGCCCTGGCATAGAGGCAGGAGGTCCCTCAACACCTGCTATAAAGCAGGAGAAACCCAAAGATGGGCAGCCACCAGCTCAGGGAACACAGCACAGCAGGCCACTCTCTGAGCCATGGTATAAGAAGCTTCTCTCCAACCTTCACCCTGAGCCTCTCTCCTACCTCACACAGCCTCCCTCAGACGGGGACTCCAGCACTCACCAAGATGAGGAGACACTCATTGGCAAGTTCCTGGTGCTCCTGGATAGTGGACAGCACGGACAACACCAGGCAGGTGAACACCAGCAAAAATCTGCAATTGCAGCATGAAAGGAAGGGTTAGACTGCTGGATGGACAGGACAGCCAAGGAGCCTCAGTAGGGGGCTGTAGAGTCAGAGGAGGAGGAAAGCATTAATTGAGAAGAGTTATGTGGAAAGCAGATAAAAGAATCAGAATCAGAGTTCCCTGGAAGTGTGGCTCTGTGCTGAACACCAAAGGGAGAAGCCCCCAAGCTCTGGGCTGCTGAGCTCAGAGGCACTTCACAATGCTCTCAACTGCCCTTGATGCAGGTTGTAGTTAGAGAAGTGGTCACTCAGCTCTGAGGGGTAGGTTGATCTGGGCTGGCAGTGGGAACAGACTGGCCCAAGGTCCCACAGTCAGGAACAACACCAGGCTCAGCCATTCACAAGTGTGGCCTCAGCCCCTAGGCTCAGATTCAAGGTTGTCTTGAGAGAAATACAACAGGTCAGCAGCTGAGGGAGGGGAGGGAGCCCCCATTCCCTATGATCCCTGCGGTGGCTTGGCTTTATCTGCAGAATGGGGTCAATTGCCCTTACCTTTGTGGGCACTTAAGAAATTAGATAATGAGACAGCTATGGAAGGAATGGGGACTAGGGAGATCAGGTAGGGAAAGAAGGATGCAGAGTGCAGAGGGGGAGAGGGTGTGAAGAGGGGAGTCAGGCAGCGAGGAGCCCTGACATGGAGGCCTACAACTCCCCTGAAGGCAGAGGGAAGGGATGGAGTGGCCCAGAACCAGATGCTTGGACAAGGAAGGAACTTGAGAATCCGACTCTTCCACCACTTTCCTCAACCCCAATTGCACACGTAAGGAAACTGAGGCCCAGAGAGCAAAAGGCATTGCCTAAAGTTACTGAATACGTCCAGGATGAGATGGGAGCCAGGATCCTAACTTCCCAGTGGATGGGCAGAAGGGAAAGGGCACAAGGACAGAAGCTGGTGGCCTCGGGAGGATGTGAGTGTGAGGGAGACAGGATGAGAGGCACAGCTGCAGATGCAGCAAAAGGGAGCGCGGCTGGACTCCCAGAGGCCCTCCTCTTCGGGATGGGGGGAGGGGCACCCTGCTGAACATGCACGTGCCCTGGAAGAGACGCCTGAGGGAATGGACTTCTCTGGAAACACATCCCTTGTGGACTGACCCACACAGTCTTCCCCAAATGTCCCATCTCCCTACCTGGGGCTGCTGATGCTGCATTCTGCCTAAAACACCTCACTGTGGCAGCCTGCTGAGTCTGCCGCCCTTCCCCCACACAGGAGCATGGCAGCCTGCTGAGCCACCCCCCCTTCCTCCACACATGCTCCCTGTTCTGAGGGGCCCTCAGGGATGCCCCCTCCTCCTACTTTCCCCTCTCAGAGCTGGTGTCCCTGTATGTGGCCCAAGTCACTTTCTACATGGCTTTATTTATGTTCATGTTTCATAGTGTCAGTCATGGGCTGGGAGTCAGAAAGACCTGGGTTTGAATTCCAGTCTTGCCATGTGTGGCCCTGGGAAAGTCACCTCCCTTCCCTGAGACAGTCTCCTCATCTGTAAAGCGGGGTCTGGCAGGACAGAAACATGGAAAGGGTATGGCTCCACCCTGACCCACTTACACCTCCTTGGACAGGGCTCCCTGCCTGTTGGAGGGCAGGTATAGGGCTGCGTCCCAGCACATGCCCCTGGGTAGAGGAGGTAGGTGGCAGGTGGCAGTAAAGGGTTTTGGATGAATGAGGGAGGAGGAGGCCTCCTTGGCCAGTTCCAGACAAGAGCTAAGTCAGCGAAGACATAGGGCACAGGGGAGAGCACCCGCTCCTCCTGTTCAATAATTAACCACAGAAAACAGCAGCCACATCCACTGGGGTAGGAACTGTCGCTGACACAGGGCTTAAGGGCAGAGGACCCTCCCTGAGGTCATCTCATCCAGCCCCCTCCTCTGGGAAGGGCTGCAGCCAAATCTCAATGGACCTTTACCCCAACGCTGGACAGTCAGCCTTCAGTCCATTGCTCAGCCACACCAGGGGTTGCCTACTGGGTATTTCAAACAATTTTTTTTCTCAACATTTTTCTTTCAACACCAATAGTTACACATCTATAAGTGTCCAGGTCACAATAGGTTAAGTGAAAAAGGTAAATTATAAAACCTTAAGGGCAGTGTGATCCCAGTTTTTAAAATGTAGATGTCTTTTACATACAGTAGACCAAGAGTCAGTGGGACTTATCTCTGGGGGCAAAGTTAAGAGTGACGTGGTTTTGCTTTGCTTTTTGCTTCTCTGCATTTCCTAATATTTTTTAGAATAAACATGAATATTCTTTTGCCTCTGTACCTTGTTTCCTGAGCCCATTTTTTCTACAGCTCACTTTCACCCTCTGTGACTTCCTAAATACATTTTTTCTTATAGTTTGACTTTTTTATAGTAGTCTCTCTCTGACCTCTTTCTTAGCCAGAACTCAAGTCCCAAGGTTGCTGAACGTGGTCCGGCCTGACTCCCCCGGTCTAACACCTGGCGCCGGTTCACCACCAACGTGTGCACATGGGGAATTCACATGAGCATGAAAATCCCAAAAACATAAAGCGAAATGAGACGTAAATGTCATTCAGAGCTAAGGAGGGAGAAGTAAAGCAAGTCACAGGTAGATGAAAAGAGCTATTGCTTAGTATATTGAGCCATCTTGAAACAATAAGTCACAAAAAGGGCTTTAATCAAATGGGTCCTGCTGGTCCCTCCTTGTCAATTACACCTAATGTTTTCCATGTTAAAATACAGTCACTTATCTATGATGATAGTTCCCTTCCTGGAGCAAGTTCTTTGACTAAATTCTTTTTTTTTTTTTACAGAAGAAATGTGTGTTTTTTTTTCTTTATTAATTTGAGAGAGAGAGGAAGGGAGAGAGAGATAGAAACATCGATGAGAGAGAACATCAATTGGCCGCCTCCCGCATGCCCCACACTGGGGATTGGGCCCACAACCTGAGCATGTGCCGTGACCAGGAATCGAACCGACGACCTCTTGGTACACGGGTGGACGCTCAACCACTGAGCCCCACTGGCTGGGCTCTAAATTCCTTTTAGGCAATAAGGTGGAAGGTCAAATGTTCTTTCTGATTTTTCTGGGCTTTGATTGTTTTCCGTTTGAAATAATCTGCATGCCAAGTAGTGAATCTTGGGGTGACTCATTCTGAACCCCTATCCTTACTTACAATGTAAACAACTTTATCAAGGAGATTAATGTCAATTAAAACATTGACACAGTATTCTAGCCATTAAACATCAATATTGTGGACCCAGAGGAGAAACTTGTTTGATGTGAACCCTGAGAAGAAATTTATCTGGTGAGATGGACTTCCCACGGTAAACTGAGGGCCCAAGTTTTATAAATAATAAGAGTTTAGCAGGGATTTGCTGATGGGGCTCCTCACATACTCTAAAAAAAATAAAAAAGAATAAACATGACTAATCACAAACTAATATAAATTTTAAAGCACATTCTTTAAAAATACAAACCGGAGCCCTGGCTGGTTTGGCTCAGCGGTTAGATCGTCAGCCTGCGGACCAGAGAGTCCTGGGTTCAGTTCCTGCTAAGGGAACAGTCTGCAGTTTGTCCCTGGCCCCAGTTGGGGTCGTGTAGGTGGCAAACACTCGATGTATCTCTCTCACATTGATGTTTCTCTCTCTCTTCCTTCCTCTCTCCCTCCCACTCTATAAAATAAATGCAAAAATGTCCTCGGATGAGGATTAAAATATATGTGTGTGTGTGTGTGTGTGTATATATGTGTGTGTATATATATACATACACACACAAATGGGGGAGGGGGAGTCCACTGTCAATCCTGCCCCCACCCCCTTACACAATAGCCTTAGTCTTTAGCGGGTGTGAGGGGTGACAGTCTCTCCCCAGAGCCCAGCCCAGATGTCCAGCTGCCTACTCAATGCTCTCCATAAATGTCTAGTGGCCTCTGACACCTAATGTGTCCAAAGACACACTCCCAGTTTGCCCTCAGATCTTGCTCCTCTCCAGTCTCCCCATCTCAGTAATGGCCCCACCCAGGGGCTCAGGCCTCGACTTGACTCTCCTTTCTACCACCCTCCACATCCCATTCTTCAGAAATTTCTATTAGCTCTACCTTCAGAATCCATCCCCGGACAGACCATGGCTCACCATCCTGACCCAGCCACCACCTTCTGGCTCCTGACTGGTCTTCCTGCCTCCAGGCTGGCCCTACTGTCACCCACTCTCTTCAAAGCAGCCAGAGTGATGTTCCGGGAGTGCAAAACCAGAAAGCAGCATTCTCCTCAAAAAGCGCCACTGACCCCCCATCACACTGAGAGACCGAAGTCCAACCCCGCAGCATGTCCAGCAAGGCCCTCTGAGATCCGGCCCCACCCCCACCTCTTGAACTTGATCTCCCCTCTCAACCCTCCATCACTGGATTCCAGCATCCTGCCATCCTTGCCCTTCCTGGGACACGCCAAACCTTTTTCCACCTCCAGGCTTTGCACTTACTTTGCTGTTTTCTCTGCCTATTTATTGCTCCCTTACTCATCCACCTCCCTGTTGAAACATCACCTCCTTGGAGTCCCCAGCCACCTCCTCTCCAAAAGAACAGCCCATCTGCACTCTCTCTCCCTTTACCCTGCTTTGTTTATTTTTTTCATAGCACTGTTGAAAGCCAGAGTAAATGAATAGCAGAACTGCATGTTAAACAAACATCAGGACATCATGTCACCAAAGTCCCCAGTCTGTACCCATTGAAAAGGCTCCCAAAGCTTTTAGCATCTTCATGAGAAGGGAAGAGAAGGCAGGCCCCTGACCTTAACCAGCTCCATTTGATAGATGCTGTTTTAAAAGCCCCTGGACCTCCCTCTGCCTTTATGCCCTGGCCAGGAGTTTCCTCACCCTAGATGCTCAGTACAGCCAAACAAACATACCGTTACTTAGCCTGATAGAGAACATCTTGTATTCCGGGCACCTGAATAATTGTTCCTATCTTCCAGTTGAGGAAATGGGGCCCAGGGAGGGACACACTTGCTCAAGATCAC